TCAAATAGATTAATTTGTTTTATCGCCAAAGGCATGACTAAACAAATCACATGAACTGCGGCAAAAAAAAAAAAAAGCCTTCATGAACGGAAGAAGTCATAAATGGCATGTTACGCCTTCAATTTTATTTTGTAAACATAAATCTTCAATTTTAAATTTCTACTAACAGCTATCAACAGAATTGTAAAATAATTTATTCAGAAGCTATTGACAAAAAAAAAAAAAAGCAAATTATTAGGTGGTTAGATTCACGCGCCACTTTTACAGGGTCAGATCAAAATGTGAACGCACTTGCAGCCTTCTCGACTTGCGGACCCTCCAAACGTTTGCTTTCAAACGTTCTCGTTTTAGAAATGGAAAAATGTCAGCTGAGGACCACTGAAGCAACTTTATATCAAAAAGGACTGTGGGATTATGAAATTACACAATAACCTTCATATATATATATATATATATAATAACCAAAACTCTTACAAATGCTAGTCCATTACCAACAAGAATTCATTTGGAATTTAATAATAACACATTTGAAATTAATAACTTATTTTAGTTTTAACAATTAGAAAAATTAATAGAATATTAATTGTATAAGTGTTTGTTATTCATCAACAAATATCCATTCAAGTTTTGATAAAACTCATTTAAAATTAGCAACAATCTATTTGGTCTTTAACAAGTTAGAAAAATTGACAACATTTGTCTAACGGAATAAGTTTTCACATTGCATAAATAACAAACTATTCGAGTTTTGACAATAACATATTCATAATTAACAAATGATTTGTTCCATTAGATTAGTACTATCAGTTTTCTAACTTGTTAAAATTTAAATGGATTATTGTTAATTTAAATGAGTTATTATCAAACCCTGAATGGATATTTATTGATGAAGAACTTACACTTATATGATTAAATTCATTCTATCAGTTTTTTTAACTTGTTAAACCCTGAATAGATTGTTATTAACTTTAAATGTGTTGTTAAAACCTAAATGAATACTTTTTGATACAGACTAACACACGTAAAAGTTTTGGTTAAAAGTTTGGGCTACTAAATATATTCTTTTTTGCCATATATGATTAAGAGGGCTTGGTAGCTACTTACTTTTTTAGGTAGCCAAGAGATTGGGATAAAACCTCTTTGGCCACCTTCACCAATTATTCTTAATAAAATGGTCACTGGTGCGGGAGCTTCGATAATTGGCCACAGGCAAGAGGCTCCAGTGACCTTGTTACTAGCAAGGTCTTTGGCGGCTAATGCTGGTAATAATGTGGGTGACTTTTTTTAAATTGTTTTAAATTTTTGGATATTGTGGTCATTTTTTATAAAAACTTATTTTTAGTCAAGGATCAAGAGATAGCACTACAGTTTCAAAATTTTATGACCCTTCTTTAATACTCTCTCCATTTTTATTTGTAGAAAAAAAAACTGTATTACACAATTTAAAAAAATCAGTTAATTATATTAATTGTATTTGAAAATAAAAAAAATTAGACTACAATATCTTTTATTAATTGTGTTAATCAATTCTTCATTAATTCATTAATTTTTTTATAATTATGAATAATAAAATTATGAGGATAATTTAAAAATTTCACAATAAATACTTATTAAAAATATAATTTTATTTATATAAAAAAGTTAAAAGTAATATCTTCTTTTATAAATAAAAATGAAAGGAATATAAATTTACTTCAGTGGTGCTCGTTGACATTTTCCCTTTATGAAATACAAAATCAACTTCATGTAAAAGTCAACTAAACATTTATTCCTTCACTGCATTGGAATTTTTTTATGTTTATAAAAAAGCCATTTTTTTATGTTTATTCCTTCATATTTATGAATAATTATTTTTCCTTTTCATTTATACTGAACTAGACACAACATATCTTGACATCCACTTTTTTTTTTTTTGTAAAAAAGTTATTCACTGCTTTTGTTATGTAATATTTGAATAATTAATAATTAATAATCAACCAATTAATATTAAATAAAAAATTCTAAAAAAATATATTATTGAAAAGTTATTATTTAAACTTTATAATGTATGTACTTGTATCATAATTTATAATTTTATAATATATATTACTCATTTTGCTTCTTATTTTTCTTTTTTGATCCCTGTAAGGCAAGGCTAGCATAAATCACATATTAAAAAGTAGGGGAACGATAAATATTAATTAGATTTGTAGGATCAATCAACAATAGCTAAATCCCAAATTTTTTTAAAAAAATGAATCTCAAATAAGAAGTAAATATAGGAGCTTCAATTACAAAATTATTTAGAATAACCTACAAGATCTAAATATCAAATTTGTTACTAAGATTTTATATTTATAATTATTTAAATTGATATTTACAACTTATCTCTTAGTAAAAAATTTTTGAACCTAAATATTATAAGTTAATCTTTTACGACTTAACTATTATTTTAAAAAATATTTTTAAAATAAATTGGTTCAACTAGTTAAAATGGTTGTTTTTTATTATTTTTTTTTCCCCCAACTTTGACTAGTCTCAAACTCTCACTAGTCCATAGTCGATTCTCTTTTAGACCGGGTCATGCCATTTCTTGGACCGGCCGGTTCACTGCAATGAACACAGAATTTGGAATTGTGCTGAGGCAAAAGTCAAATAAATGTAGGTGCATTCCAGTCATTGTTGGTTGGAAATTTTTAATTTTACGTTTTATTGCGGTCCAGCTTGTATGCGTTTTCAAAGCTTGTAGTTGAAAAATTAGGCATTATAGCATCAAATTTGCGGCAACAATCTCAAATATACCCTCCATGACGGCTACGCTTTGGACTTGGAGGCTTCCTTCATTTTCCTATTTCTCTTTGTAACCAATGATCCTTTTTTCAATTATCATCAAATGAAGAACATGCTTGCTTAATTCATTTAATTATCTTTTAATCATATCTTTAATCTAGTTCCTTTTGTAAGAATCAAAATATGATTCATGATGATATTTCTTTTAAAAAAAATCCTACATTTAAAAATGAGTACAGATATTATCTGGCGTTTAAGCTATGAATAACTTATTTAGTTTATATAATAAAATAATTCTATTTTTCATAACATACTCAAAATATTCTTTTAAGATGTTAGAAAAATATGAATTTTTTGCATCTTCTAGATTATGTAAGGAAATTCTGAATCATGAATATTTATCTACAGCCTATTAACCATTGTAGCATGCAAATAAATAATTATGATATTAAAAATCAGACCTATAATTAAACTGTTAAAAATGATTCAATGATTAATGATAAAAAACATAGTTAAACTGTAATTAGACTAATCATAAACAAGATATTTTGTTGAATTCGTTAAAATATTGGTTCAACAATTTATTAATTCAATCGATAGGATTGACTCAATGTTTGATATTATATAAATAATTTAGGTAAATGCATCCAAAATAATTCAAATGTTGAAATGTATTTTGGCATAGTATGAGGAAACCTACGATAAAAATCCTGAGGAATTCCAAACCTGCGTCAAGCTTGACAATAAAATTATAAAGAAAAAACTTAAAACAAAACATAATATTATTTGGCTAAAATAAAATAATACTCCATCCATTTCAATTTATAAAATACTTTTAAAATAAATTCAACATCCTAAAATATAACATATTTTGATAAAATAAGATTTAATTAATAATGCTTTTTAAATATTACATTTTCATTATAGTCGCTCACTCTTTAATATTTCTTGAAAAAAAATATATTTGTAGGTCCTAAAAATTTTACTCAATTTTAAATTAGGCTTTGAAGTTTATTTTATTTTAATAAAGCCTTCATAATTTAATTTATTATATATGTTAGCCCTTGAAGGTTCAAATTAATAATGAATTATTAAATTTTACAAAACAAAAATATTCTTAGAGTTCATAGCCAAATTTAAAAAGAGAAAATTTGATCTATACACTATTTACATTTTTATTAATTTTTTAAATCAAGTTATATATGTATAAATATATTAGAAGACAACCTAATTATATAAATTTTGAGTTATAAAATTATATAATTAATTTTAAAATTATAAAAACACTTAATTTTGTTTTCTTAAAATAAAAAATTAAGTATTTTAACGTTCAATAATTAAAAAATTTAATTGATCAAACTATGAGAACTCAATTGAAAAAAAATAAATTAAGAGACCTAACTTAAAATTAAGTGAAGCTATAAGAACATACAAATATGTTTTTTCATATACTTTTTTATAAATATAATATTATATGAAGAATATTTTTAAAAATTTATATTTTTATTTTTTAAAAATATTATAAAATATATTTAATTTATTTTATTAATATGTACTTTCTCTGTTAAAAAATATAAGGTATTTTTAATTGAATCTCACTTATAATAAATTTATTATCTATTTTTAAACTAACCCTATCTTTTTATATTTATTCTATTAAACATCCTACAATAAATATAAAGTCATTATTAATAATAGCACTTTAAAAAATAATAATTATATCTTAAAAGATTAAAATAACTAATATTTTTAAATATCTAAATTTTTTAAAAAATTTTATATTTTTAAATGAAGGGAGTATGATTTTATCTAAAATATTTTTATCCCATAACTTGATAAGTATGCGTGCTTGTTTGTGTGTATTAATTTAATTTAATTTTATTTTTTTAACAGTGTGTGTATTAATTGTGCAAGTACAATTTCTACCCACCCAAATTTAAGTTATCCAGTCTGCCTTCGTTTGACGTACGGCTAGAGTGTGGGAAAAAAAGAAGTTTAACTGCCCTGTGAAGCGTGGCCATTATTTTAAATTTAAATAATATATTTTTTCTGTACACCAGAAAAAAAAATTATTAAGTGTGTATGTAACTCAGTAAATCATCAATAATATATAATTTCATAACCCAAAAATGCATTTTGTTTTTGCTTTTGTTTTTGATTTACATATATTTTCTTGACCATGTAGTACAAAATAAAATACAGCGATGAAAGCAAGCCACGCAACGAAAACGAGAAGGAATTATGAAGGCTTTTCGAGTCGGAGCAAAAGGTTTGAACTGAACAAGGAAACGGTCACTTTCTGCTACAGGAAGGATCTAGGTGGGAAATCTCCCCATGAGGTGAAGAAGAAGAAGAAGAAGAAGTCCAAGCTTGCGACACGGAACTCGTGGCTGTTAGTAGTCGCTTCTCCATCCACATCCAAGGAATAACAACATCCGACCGAAGCACACCAACGTCCACCACTCTGCCAGAAAGCTACCGATGATCAATTAATTTTTATTGTAATTATATGTTGACCACTAGAGAAAACTATATTTTTTCCATTCCCATGTCTCCTCCACCATATCTGCTTCCATCTTGAAGAGCTGAAAGTGTCATACCTCGTATTCTGGCTGAATTGGGCTACCAACGAAGGTTGTCGTTGTTCAAGCTGGAAACTAGATTTTTCTTTTTCTTGGCCGTTATAAGATGATATACTGTTGTTGGTTTCATCATTTGATTTGTTAGTAATTTAGTTTTTATGGAGATTATCTAGCTTATGAGTTGGTATCCTGAGTCATAGTCACATGTTGGATTGGATTTATGGCTAGATTTGGGGTTTTTCGAGGAAGCGCATGGATAGATGGCTACGGAATTGACGGAACGGGAACTTCGCGTGCTTGATATGAGTTGGGATTAGCTAGCGTTTTGATGCTCCAACACTTAGTTTGTATTTATTCATATCGATTTTTCACTTTTTAAGTTTGTGTTAATCTGGTGTATCCTTCATCTTTGGTCTGATCATCAGACTCCGATGCTCCGGTTTGAAGACGCTGTGCATGTTGTAATCTTCAGTTGAATGAAGAAAGGGACAAGAAACTATTGACGAGAAACAGTTGACTTTTTGGAGTTTCTATTAATTGTTCTGAAGTTTGCAATTATGATGAGTCCCATGGATCAAGTTGGAAGAATGCAGAATCTTGTTAGTTGAAGATAGTATCAACTGTTGCATGCCGTTGCTTGTGCTTGTGTTTCTACGCTTGTGCATGGCTGTCTTTTAGGGCGTGCTATGTTTTGTAGGATTGAAAATTAGTGGGTGGAGAACGGCAAAATTTTTGGGCGGCGTAATATAAGTCTAAATTCGTTGATGTTTCCATCTTTTTGTTTTCACGCCTATGTCTTAATTAGCATCTGCGGTAAAGATGCCAAGAAAATGGCATTTCAGTAATGTTAAAATTATTGTATAATGCAGATTGCAGACTGTAGCAGTTATATACCAGAACCATTATGAGTTGTGGCTGCTTTGGAGCCTCAACTATAAAGAGGAAAAGTAGTCCTGCTCGTAATCCTAATGAGGATGATGGTAAGGCTGTAGAAGTTTTATTTCCTATCCTTCGATAAGGTTATAAGTTCGCGCAACTTCATTTTCATTTGCTTGAATTATAAAGCTTGTAATTTTTTATTTTTTAGCACAATAGCGTCTTGCAATCCATGTAGCCAACCCCACCTAATGGGATAAAGGCTTGTTGTTGTTGTTGTTGTTGTAGTTTTTTATTTTAAATTTATTTTTGGCTTTCCATAGTATTTGAAAACTTCTCAATGTGTTTCTTTTGGTATCTTATGGGGAGTCAAGGTTTATCTACTGAAAATGAATTAATATGTCCTTATTCGTGGAATTCAGTATTTTTTCCTCACTGTTTGCAATCTCTAAGCATTTGTTGGAAATAGGAACTGTGTTGATAGAAAATGTTTTTGTTCCGCGTAAGTTATGAAGTATGTTTATAACTTGGCTCCTAATTCATTGGAAAGTTAGGAGACATTTTATTAGCACCTTGTTGAAAGAATTTGATGTGCTCTAGAGTATGCCCTAGTTAATTTTATGGGACTTCTTTACTTATGTTTATTTAATTTCAAGCTAGACTGCTGATTGATTTCCTACATAATGAGTCTGCTTGAGAGGAAGCTGCAGTTGCATACATGATGTTTCATCTTGGCTGCAGTACCTTCCCTTTCCCTATTCCCTTTTAGTTGCTTGCCTCCCTCAACTCTATTATAACATTGCTATGGTCATGATGTCAAAATTTGTTCACAATGCTTTACATGGAGATTTAGTGCTCATATGCATCACGCTTAAAAACATTGGGCAAGTCTGCCTGCAAAACTAATTCATGCTATTCCATCCCAATATATTTTCTTAATTATGACCTAAGCAATGATAATCACATTTCAACTGGGCTAATATGAATTCTCAAAACTTTCAAGAATTAGCAAGTCCACATTTGGGATTTGGGGTCCTTGCCCCTCAGTAGAAGCTTCTTGTCAGTATATAAATGTTGGGGCTAGGAGGTCACATAGACAAGCACACTTAAGTAACGAAGTGAGGATTGTATATTTTTCATGTCCACCGCTGTATCTTCTGAGATTCTGTCTCTCCAATTCGTTTCACTTATATTTGAGAATATCTTGTCTGATTTATTTTATGAGCTTTTGTATCTGGCCCGTTCTTGTTCCTTCTTCTTCTTCTTCTTTTTTATTGGGGGCAATGAGTACTAATTTCATCAACCATACAAAACAAACTAAACAAGAAATAATCTTCCTGGCTTTGATACTGTCCATTTAATCCCAAGTACAGATAAAGATAGGATCTAGATAGCGATGATTGTTTACATTTTTTTAATAATAGCTAAACTTGAGTATTATCAAGTTATCCTGGGCTTTTGTCTATAGAAAGTTCGAACGGTAAATTTCTGATCTGAATTCAAAAGGCTATGATTTCCATTAGCTTGCATATTTCTCTTATATAACATCAGTATTGCAGCAGCAGCAACAATAATAATATTGGTATTTATAACAAATATCCTTTTGGGTATCATTGTCACTTTGCTCTTAAATTTCTTTTGAATAAGCAGTTCCTCTATGATTATGTTCATAATAATTCTGAGGCATACCTGGGTTTATTTTTGTGCGCAATCTCTGCCTAATTCATGCGATTCTTTTTCACTCCTATATTCTTTGGTTGCTCAGGCATTGCAATTGATAATGTTAGGAATTTCTCCGATAAAGAACTAAGGTTGGCAACAGATAATTATGACCCAAGGAACAAGATAGGAAGGGGAGGTTTTGGAACTGTTTACCAGGTATTAAGCTTAAAGACGCTTGCATATGTTGCATTTTAATTGGATTAGTATGCTTGTTAGCTTGTTACACACATAATAATTCTTCAAGGGAACTGCTATTTGCTACTCCTCTACTGCATTTCATAAGACATTTTTACAGGCAATTTGGTGTTCCAAAATATAGGATAAGGCTTCATTAATGATGGTTATCCTAATATTACCCTTCATTATTTCACTCCTTCAATATATTTCTCTCTCTCATTTTTGCAAGTTTATAAACAAAATAAGATTTCAAACTGTATTTAATTGACTTTATTGGTATTCATAATTTTACCCAAAATGTCTTGTAAAATGGGACAGAGGGAGTAATTTTCTTTTTTTCTCTTCCATATTGCTGAATCTTACATTGAGGCCTCCATTTATAATGCAAGTGGCAAAATGGGACCAGTGAAAACCACCAAAGCCTTTGAGAATCTATTTCCAAGGTTATGATTCATGTCATACGTTTAAAAAAAAAAATGTTCTGCATTGGCTTATTGTAGAGTCCCAGCATCCAAACGGAAATCTCTTGCATATTTTCTTATTTGGTATCTTATAATGATTAAATAGCAACATTCTTCCCCACCCCCCCCCCGGGGGGGAACATATTGAAATACAAGTTGATTGAATTAACTTATTCTCCACCAAAACAAGAGTACCGTTTGGGTGTTCACTGTTCAGAATTCAGCTTTGCTAGTTAAATTATTTTCAATACTCTTGGGGTACCTTTTTCTAGATCCTGCTTTTGGTGAGCAATGGATTGTTACACTTATCAATTCTTAACTGTTACGTGTTCACTACATAACTATTACTTTAGCTTGAGCAATAAATCGTTTCGTTTTTAGTGTACCAAACAAATTAGAACAGAAGGTTGCCTGAAGACCAATGGAAGTTTCATCACCAATGAGTTCAAAATATATGATGGCATGTTATATGAAAGACTAGGCTGACAATCCCCAGAGTGTCATAATATTTCAACATTATTCTCTTGTTAACTTCTGCGCCACTTCAGGTCGGGGTGGGGGACTCTCAAAGCACTGCTTATTATTTTTGTTGCAATTTTGTTAGGGGACCTTGAGAGATGGAAGAAAAGTAGCAGTGAAGACCCTTTCAGCAGGATCAAGGCAAGGAGTTCGTGAATTTTTAGCTGAAATCAAGACTATATCAAATGTTAAGCATCCAAACCTTGTTGAATTGATTGGCTGCTGTGTTCAAGGACCTAGTCGTATTTTGGTATATGAGTATGTGGAAAATAACAGCCTTGATCGTGCATTACTTGGTAAAGTTGACAAAAGCTTCATTGTGAACTATGAATCTATGTATTGAGATTGGTACACTAAAGAGAGGGCATAGCATTTGATCATGCTTTCCTTTTATAGGCACGAGGAATACAGGCATCAAACTAGACTGGAGAAGAAGATCTGCAATTTGTATGGGTACTGCTAGGGGTCTTGCATTCCTTCATGAAGAACTTGTTCCACACATTGTGCACAGAGACATTAAAGCTAGCAACATACTACTTGACAAAGACTTTAATCCGAAAATAGGAGATTTTGGGTTGGCTAAATTATTCCCGGATGACATCACTCACATTAGCACTAGAATTGCTGGAACAACGTAAGTGATATTTCAGATTCCCAGTTAAACTCTTTCCGTTTGTTTTTTGTGGGGAGATCCTGCACTCCTGCCAATTTATTTTGGCCTTTTAGCTATTATTTCTCAGCCCACATAAAACATCAACTAATACTGACTATAGGAAGAAGGAATTCTTCATCTATGCTTATCTTTCACATCTGGGTGGGCTAGCAAAGCTGGCCATATAAGAAAGGTATCCACGCTGAAGAGTTTGACATCCAACTGGATTTGACTGACCTGGGTATACAACAAACACCAAGTTTTCTGAGATGTAACATGTGCAAGATTTTGTAATAGAATGTCTACAATTCAGTTTCATCAAACTCCAACAATAATTCAAGGGGCACTTGTGAGATGAGTTGATTAGAAACAAAAATAAAGCAGATTGTGTTTCTTTGAATCACTAATCTCGGCATCTTTTTACTAGTACTGCAATATTCAGAAATACTATACTGCATATTAATTAAAGATGAGAGTTCATTTTGATGTTACTGAAGCTCATGGGCAAAATCTGTTGTGATTTGCTGATATATATTTTGTATGCTTGAGCCACTAGGCAAAAAACATGATCACAAAGATTAATTCCTATATTGTCAATGATCGGAAAAGTTTAATCCCCCTTTTCTTTTAAATCAAAGTCTCTGTGGTGTAAATCAGTTTTGTAACATTACAAAACCAATTGAGAACTTTTTCATGCATTTCTTCCACCAAATCAGTTTTGCCAATTTCTATTTATCTTCACCTTTCTGCTGTAACAAGATTCAGGGTATCTTAATCTGTATATATGCCTGTAGTAGTTTGTATTTTGAAACTTGGTCAATCCATACTTTGGTTTTGATAAAAACTGTACCTTGCTTTGTTTTTCATTTGCACAGCGGTTATCTAGCCCCAGAATATGCATTAGGCGGTCAGTTAACCTTGAAGGCTGATGTATACAGCTTTGGAGTTCTTGTACTAGAAATAATAAGTGGCAAAAGTAGTTCAAGGGAAACTTGGGGAGGAACTGAGAAAGTCCTCTTGGAATGGGTAAGTTCTGTTTCCTGCTTTTGCAAGGTGCCATGCAACATAATACAAATACATATAATGATGCTTTGATGCTTTTTCATATCACAAATTACCACGTTTGCTTTCATTAGTTCAGTCATGACCATAGTTTCTCACTTGTGACTCAGTAGCTCAGACAAAAAAGCACATGACTGACTGATTGAAGGAGAAAATTCTTAGGTAGGCCTAGTCTACAAAAGATCCCAAGATCGAAATCATCATTGATGGACATATAAGCGTGTCAAAAAATGAGTCCTGCTGAAAAATGTGACCATCATGCTCACATGTCTGTTAAGTGTTAATTATCGACTTGATCTATTGATTTTTGGTTACATGCTGTTCTCTTTTTTTTCTCCTTCCCCCAAGCTTAATGCTCTTTCAGAAGTTTAAACCCTTCAAGTCCATGAATAGTTTTATTATAATCTCTAATAAGCCTCATATAACATTCAGGCGTCTTCTTTGGAATAGATATATGCAAGATGTGTCTGTAAATCTCCACGTGGGACGAGGGACAAAACTTAATGATCTTTTGCTTATTCTATTAGGCTTGGCAACTTCACGAAGAAGGAAGACTTCTGGAGCTAGTGGATCCTGAGATTGGAGAATTTCCTGAGGAAGAAGTGATTAGGTACATGAAGGTAGCTTTTTTCTGCTCACAGGCGGCAGCAAACAGAAGGCCATTAATGTCCCAAGTTGTGGATATGCTGTCCAGGAAAATCCGGCTCAATGAGAAGGAGCTAACGGCACCAGGATTCTACCAGAATTCAGGAGAATCCTCTAAAAAGAACCTATTCAGTGAGTCTACTAGCAATCAAACTCATTCTCTTCCTCCCACTATTACTCAGGTGACCCCTCGATGAAGCCTTTAATTATATAGTTCCTGTTGCCCCTAGTGTTGATTGTAGACTTCAAAGGAGAAACGAGGATTGTTTATTTATTTATTTTTTTTATTTCTGTAGGAGGGAAATGTCAAGTAGGGGGAACCCCCCAAAAAATTTTTTCTCTGTTTTCCTTTGTCTATCCTTTTTCTTTTCGTGAAACGAGAAGCATATTGAAATTCGAATCCATCGGAGCATATTTATCTTATCTTATGTAGATTTGCATTGAAAAAACATGTAATTGAGAGAGTATGTGTTTGACGTTTATAGCACGCATGGAATGGAATGCCGAGGATCTGGAACAATTCTTCCAATGAATCAATTAAGTTTTAGAAATGAGATATTTGTTTGAAACTTGCAAACAAATCCTTACAAAGTCAACACAGCCATGTTTTCAACTGAGAAATGTTCACTCCATTTTACTTTAAGCATTTGTTTGAAGGAAAAGCACCCGTATGTGCAATAAATAAATAAACAAAAATTGATTATTGGGGTAGCATACCACATGCTAGCTTCACCATACAGAATGGGGAGAGGAGTTTCTTTATTTCTTTGCTCTCTTTTTGCTCTTACTTTTTCAATGGCCATTCATCAAATCTACAATTAAAATAAATTCATTTAATAGAATGACAGTAATGGTGATGATTGGAAAGTGGAGGGGGAATAAGAGCAAAGAAATGAAAAGACTCCTCTCCTAACAAAATGCGCGAATTGGCCTGACGAAGTATACAGATGATTATATCAGGAAAATACACACAAATTAGAAAGACCTAAGCACGAATAATGATTGGATAAACCCGACAATATCATGGGTAAGTTGCTTGTACTTGAAGAATCTAAAAGGTTGAAAAATTGGAATCCTATCCAACTTTAATTCAAATTAGTCGTTTTGTTTTTCGGGCTCCAAAATCTAGATTTTTTATCACCTGGCCTCCGAAGAGGCTTTAAATTTGATTCACCATCAACTGATAAATCGCCGCTCTCGCCTCCTCAAAGGGAAATAGAGTTGAGAACAGGCAAGTTTAATTATTTAAAGCAAGTAGGAAATATTCATCGCACCGTTATTTAGCTCGGAACGTTCAGATTTGCAATCAAGCGCTTTCAATGGTTAAGAAACTAAGAATAAATTAAGAAAGGAAAATTGTACTAAAACAGCATGAAAAATTATTTATAAGGAAAATTGTACTGAAAAAAGCTTGATAAAGTATGTACAATGATTTGTATCAAACAGGTAAGTAACATGAAATCTATCAGGATCCTAATTAATGACAATGACAATTTTTAACACCAAAACTGAGTTCTTTATTATTCAAAGGATCACATGTAAACCATCCTATTTGATGCCAACGACCCCTTGCACTAAATAAAAAGCCAGACATATTTCCACTTTCTTCTAAAAAAAATCATACTGATAAACAGTAATCTCCTCCATGGTCATAATTGTCAATAATGAGTAAATTAATACAAAACATCGATGTCGGTAGTAAAGCGCACCCAATAAGCATTATAAACTAATAGCAGAACAAGCATTCAATGAAAAACTAGAAGGGGCAAAATGGGATCACAGAAGAGAAGAAAGCTTGTTGGGAAACCAAGAGGAGGTATCATATTTCATTATCCTACGTAGAATTATGCAGCGACCTGTTCCCCAGTAGCAGGAGTTTCTTTCTGTGCAGAGCCATTAGAGGTGGCATCGTTGGGCTGTGAGTCAGATGCGCCCTCGGCTGCTTTAGGTGCTGCATCTTTTCCTTCTTTGGCATCTTTTCCGTCTTTGGCAGGAGGAGGAGGAGGAGGAATCATGTGAGGTGGTGGTGTATGCTTAAGCTTTAGCAATATCTGGCGCAACCTAGCAAGATCAGTGGGTTTGCCAGGTTTTGGGCCTTGGATGACTGTGATTGATGGCTTTTTGTCCTGATCCTTCTTGCCTCTTTTCTTCTCAATGTTTGGAACCTCACGAGGAATGAGCTCAGCAATGGCTTTCCAATAGTGTTTGTCTGCCTCTTTGTGAAACTTGTCTTGATTAGCCAAGTATAGCTGCGCCACAAACGAATGTCAATTTCTCAAGTTAAATGATGAAAAAACAATTGCATTAAATGAAGAAAGAGTATGTTGGCCAAAAGAAACTGAAGAAAGAGTATCAAGACATGTAGAAAACTTCACCTTCTCCCTTTCTCTATTTTGAACCTTGTTGGTCTCAACATTAAGCTTTCTTTTCTCATAGAAAGCCACTTTATACTCGTCAGCTTCCTCAATAATCTTTAACCTCATTTCTTTCTCCCTTTTCTCCTTCTCCTCTAACAGAATAGCATTCTGACTGCAAACGAGAAGCCAAACACATTAATGATTTAGTTGGCAATTGGCTTTGGCACACTTTACTAAAAATGATGAATCTTTTCATTGTTATGAGAACATAGATTTGTTCAGTAAAGTACATCATCTAAAGATTTAAATAGTAAGCAAAAGGCTTGTTTTTCCATCAACAAATAATTTCACAAAAGTAAATAATATACATATATTCTAGCCAATACACATCAGTCTTGTTCATCTATAGCTAATTTAAACATTATTAAATAATTAAATACATTTTTTCTAACATTCAAACCTCAATTAGTTCATCTATAGCTAAACAAGCTCAAGCCTCACGCAATTCATGCAGATTCACGCAAGTTGCAAATGGAAGAAAAGATACATGATTCTTTCACATGATATTATTAATCCCACAATAAATTACGACTACTGTTATTATGAAACTAGTGTAGGCTCTGCGCAACCACACTATTCACAGCTTAACACACCTATAAATATATTGATGATATGGTAACAATAGAACACGGCCAGACTTCACATCAGTTTGCGGCCTTGATTACAACAACTGAATAGTGACAACAAGCAATAAGCTTTAAATTATTTTTCACCCAAGATCTGATTCTTTTTTTTTTTTTTTTTAAAGACCAAGGCCACTCTATGAGATAAATTCAGGAAAGAAAATACTGCTAAGGAGAATTGAAGACAAATAGATAGGTCAATCAAGTCAAATAGGGAGATGAACTTAGGGATATTTTTTGAAAAGGCACTTAATGTTAGCATCTGATGACTGAGATTTACAAGAATAAAATTTCAGCTTGCTAGATGTGAAATTTACACATAAGTGCGTATGTGGTAAATCATATTGTGCTACATCAATTTCTCCCAAAAGTACGTGGGAATGAGAAATACAGGGAGGGGGGGCGATCCGCCAAATGTGTTGAGGAAAATCAGATCAGATCAGATCAGATCAGATCAGATCCAATGAAAGAGAAATGGAGGGAATCACAAATGAACCTTGTCAACTTAGAACTCAGATTGAAATGGATAGCCACCACCGCCCCCAGCCCAGGGTGGTGGGGGGTGTTCTTCTGATTCCTAATTACTCACAAACTGCTCCTTAGATCTATATAAAACTAGGGAGAGACAAGGAAACCAAGAATGAACCTTGTCAGCTTAAGAGCTTGTGTGGTCTTCTCACATCAAACGTCAATGATCATTGTTCTTCCACAAACGTTAGGACACCCGGCCCTGCAAAGCCTGAAATCTATCCACTGACTAAAGTAACCCACGAAAGCACCTCAATACGCCCTGATTTTTAAAGATTCAAACTTCCAAAGGGGGAGACAACTTTTGTATTCAGAGAGATGCGATCGTCTCCAACAAAAATGAAGTCTGGCAGAATGGCACATTCAAGAAGAACAAGCTCTAGTACATAGAAATGAGTCCCTCGCATAGAATTATACTAGATCCCCAGTAAAATTAGTATCTTAATATATCATCGAAGCTCAACCGACTTATTTAAGTAAAATTGGATTGAACTATATTCATCAGTCATCGCTTTGTTTGTTTGTTTGTTTCTACACGAGATCAAACATCCTTATGCGTAATGCCACAATAAATCACAAGAAAAGCCAAATCAAATAAGGAAATTCGAGATCAACAGATAATTTAAATTCTAAAGTAAAGCAAAGTCATCGCAGATCTAAGCAAGTCCAAACGAGATTTGACAAATTCAAAAACAAAAAGGAAAGGGAATAAACTTGAAACACTCACCGGCGCCACTCTCGAAGAGCGCGACCTTCCTCGGGCTCCATCTCAGACGGCGGGGGAAGCACTGGCCCATCTGAGACAAAAACACCATCACCATATCCGTTTCCGTTTTCATTCCCATTCTCCACGTGGACCGATTCGAAGGGAGACTGAGAATAATTGGGATTCGGATCACTAAACCCGAAGATCTCCGGTGACTCAGTGGCGGTATGGTCAACAGCGACATCACCCTCGGTGGGAAATCCGCCGGAGAAGCTGGAGTAGCCACCGTCGTAGCCAGAATAGGAGTCATCTTCGTGGTGGTCGTCGAAGGGATGAGTGGAAGAAGAGTTGACATTCAACTCCTCGCCGTCGACGCTGAAGGCATCGAAGGAAGACATCTTTACCGACTTTTCTCTCTCAAGAATGCGTTTCGAGTGCTCTTTGCAACTGAGGATTTGCTCCTCAACTTTCTTTGACTGTACTTAACGGGGAAAATTATGGAAAATGCAGCGACAAAGGTAATTTTTAGGAAATTAAAAATACGAATAACAAGGAGTCACAAATATATAATATATTATCATCATATTATTGATTATTGATTAATAATAATAATAATAATAATAATAATATTTTGATTGAGTTTATTGCTTTACCAAACAAGGAGGCTCAACGATGGATTTACATGAAATTTTAATAAGAAATCCTACTATTCATGCCTATAAAATATCGAAGCTTTTAATTGAATAAACTAACATGCATTATCTCATTAAATTTTCAGTACTAAATGGATGGATAGTTAAAATAAATTTTGCAAGAAAGACTTTTCATGTAACAGCGAGGAATATTTTTTTTAGAAAATTAATATAAAATATAAAAATTAATGAATTTAGGCTTTTGTATTGCTATTGAACCTTTATTCGTGTATTTAATAAAGATTATTCTGGTATGTTTAATATACTTTAATATACAAATGACTACAGTGAAAAGTATTGTTAGCACATAAAAGTGTTTTTATATTCACGTAACTTATTTGGGAGAAATCTACTAGTTGCTCTCAATAGCTCAACTGAGATTTTCTCTACTATTTGTGAAGCCTACTACTTTTTTCAACAAAAAAAAAACTCAAAAAAATAATTTTTTACTTGTAATTAAGAAATAGCTAATAATTAATAATATAAAAAAATAATAAAATCTTACCAAAATATATAAATAGCAATCAAAACCTTTAAAATACTATAATTTTTTTGAATTTCCTAAGTCCCTAACATTAATAATTTTAGGTTGAATAATCCCTTGTTTAAGAAAAAAAATGACAAGTTTAACTCCATTTTTTTAATCATAACTTTTGTTTTATGAATTATAAAAATTAAATAAAAAATTACAACTTTTTATATAAATTTTTTTTTTTATGATTGATAAACATGTCATGAAAATAACTAATTTCAATCACAATATTTATCTAAGAATTTACAACTTTAATTCTATAAATTAGAAAAATTAAACAATAAATTATAACTTTTCACTTAAAATTTCTTTTAATATTGAAGTGTAAATTTTAAAAATAATCAATTACAATTTTTATTTAAGCAAGTACAAATTTTATGTGTAATAATTGAATAAAAAATTACAACTTTTCATGTGAAATTTCTTTTACTATTAAAATTTAAATTTTAAAAATAACTAATTATAATTTTTATTTAAATAATTATAATTTTTATTTTATAAATCGTAAGAATTAAATAAAAGATCATAACTTTTTATGTAAACTCATTATTTTTTTATTTTAAACAAAAACAATTTAATCATTTATCTAAAATTATTTATATTAAAAATTACCTAAAAATTTTAGAAAAATTTTAACATTTTCAAAAGGCCTACTTATCATTTATATATTTAGGTAAAATTTTATTATTATTTTTTTCTTAATAACATCATGTACAGTCTTTTTTATGGAGCCACTTAGTAATAGGTACTTACCGATTGTAAATGGGGCCAAGACTTTTTAACTTTTGCATAACATTAAATAACAATACCAATCAAATGAATATAAATAAGATTTATATGTATTAGGGTTCAAGATTTATTTTTTATCTTCAACACATGGTCGACCAAATTTTTAAATAATACTAAATTTAATAATAAATTTATCAAGATAAGTATTACTTAACAATCACTAACAATAAATTTAAATCTGTAATAAATATGATTATTTCATTGGCTGATTACTAATTAAGACTCAATCCCAAATTTGCCTTCCCATCATTTATTTGTTACAGGCGCGTGTAGAGATACTAGCCAAATGTAGTTATTGAAGCTGGACTGGAAGAAGCCACACACCAGAAGAAATTGAAGGAGGAAAAAAAATTCGTGGATTTTCACAAATGAAAAGCTGTGTTACATCAGTATAAGTTACATGGATATGCATAATCACCAAGTCAAAGGACCTGTTGGTTAGGTTAGTGAAAACTACTTTCTCCAAGCATCGCTAGAACAGAAACAGGTATTGATCAACATGGCGAGCCGCGTACCTTACCTCCAAAATGCCAATGCTCGGTCTCACTAAATATGTGCTGCTACAAAGTGCACTTAGCCGAAGAATAAAAGAACAGGGGCAAGACGCTCTCAGGCACACCCTCACTTTCTGGTGAACCGTTTTAAAGCATTTGGCAGAGAAACACAAATGGCCCTTGCATTTCCTGGGAGGAGGACCAAGATGTGAGAACATCTTACACATTCTTTCCGGGTACGCGCCTATGTCAACCTCACTTTAGTGAGGGTTTTGAAACTGATAATAAAGTGGGAGCTCTAACGTGGGTTTGGATTCAGTGACAGAAAGAAAAGACTGAGAGGCCAACACTGGCTTTAAATCAGCAGCAGTCCAACCCAACAGTCATTCTTCATATTGATGTCTCTGACAATCATGTACATGCCCCAACACCAGCCACATCGATTAGCGAGATGGAAAAAATGCATTAGTTCGTGTCAAGGAACGGGAGGAGCATTCCTTGGAAATCTAGCAGAGGATGGAATTCGCTGCATTGTGCGAGGGTATTCTTGTTTCAAGCGTTTATTTGAAAATCCCTGCATGGACCTGACTCACAGAAACAGAAATCAGTAAATGTAAGCACGACATAGATACTTCACGATGTAATAGAAAAGACAACACTGAAATGAGTCGTGAAAAACAAAAATGTTTTCAAGGCTCCATTTGGAATGAAGTATTTTGGACTCTGACAGAGTTCATGATTTTACTAAGACCTGTTAGAGGAAATCAAGGAAAGCAAAGAGGTTAGAAGATAACATCATTGTTGGCTCAGATGTTTGCCCTCCAGATCCTGGTTATAAGTAAAAGTAATTAATGGCCTAGTGATGTGTTAAGTGCTAGTAATCTGTCAAGAGTCTTCTAAGGGTATGGGCTGTGTTAGAGTCACTTTTTGGGTCTTTAAATCTTCCTCTTTGCCTAGAGAGAGGGGTGTAGAGTATTTTGAATATTGAAAGTGGTGAGGAGAGTTCTGGCCTCTAGAATGCTGCTAGGTTGGGGGTGGAGGAATTTATCTTTCTTCATCATTTTATCTTCTGCTAAGTGTGTGTGTGTGTGAGTTATATTGTGTTTTTGTTTGGTGGATTATATTTTGTGTTGTTTCTATTTCTGTACTCTGTTATTTTCAGTTCCTTATTTTGCTTGTAATCTTTGTTATTCAGCGATAGTAATTTTCAGTCCCCATTTGTACTGTATTTTCTGATTTATGCTTGTTTAAAGATCATTAGAATATATGGTTCCCTCAGACTCTGGAAAGGAAGAGGAAAAGGGAATGGTATACTTGACGTGTTTCGTGGGCAGCAACAATAGCTTAGTGAAAACTAATTTTCCATCAAGCATGGAAATCTTCCTTCTTTTGCAGGTCCAGTGAAATTTACAGGCTTCCTAAGCATCATATTTTATTACCAAACTACCCTCAAACATTCATCAAATTCCCATCCCGAACCAAGGCATTTCCAACACCCACAACGCCCACCGCAAGCTTAGTTCCCCCCCCCCCCCCAAAAAAAAGTTTCGCCTGCTGTCCCTTCAACTTCACCATCCACCAAAAAGCCTACCAGCAACCTTGAGGTTCACATAATGGTGAGCACCAAAATCCGTCATTCACTTCTTCATTGCGCCCATGCTCCATTGAGGAGCTTCACCTTCACTCTCTCTCAGGCATATTTACCACCTACACACCCTCCATCACCCCCTTCTTTTTCTTTATCGCACCCATCCACTGTCTCCTAGTTACATCTGTCAAGCTCTAGGGCCATCTTTATTTTCTTTATCCATTTCATTACTTGTATGCTCATACCAAACAAAGTATATAACCACATTCCATTCATTTTTCTAACATACCAACCGTACTTTCAAAATACATTCCTATTCTTTCTACTATTCTCATTCCCATTTCTTTTTCCGACCCCTTTCCTTCAAAAATCCTTCCAGTATACCAAACAGGCCCTAAAAGTTTGCTTTGCAATTGCACAGCCAAAGGCCCAACTGCGGACAAGATAGCTTGTACTCCACAAAAGGCAAACATATAAAAAAAAGTAGGCAACCCCATAGATGCTACAACATATTACAGTTTATGCATTTGACAGATAGAGAAGACAGATTATAGTAGAGTCATTCATATCTGTAAGCTATCCATAATGCAATAATAGAACAACAGAAGATTTATAAAACTAAAAGCTGCTAATAAAAATAAGACCTTGGAGAACCCTGTCGTTTTTGAGTGCATTGACCAAGCATTGTTCTTAGACTTCCAAGTGCCTTCTCAGCAGCCTAAACAAAAAAAGGCATTTTAGTGCCCAATAACATTTATTAGAAAATTAATCAAATTAAAGACATATTCTAGCACAAGTTCAAAGATAAAAATAGATTTACCTGCATTTTAGCCTCATCCCATGTTAGTCCTATCCCTTTGCCAAATACCTGACCATCTATTTCAACCTGAAACATGGAAAAATTAATAAGAATTTGCCAAAACGGAACATTTCTCATGCATTACACAAGGACATTCAAATTTCTGTTGAAGGAAACAAATAACCGAAAATAATATAAAATTTATTCTATTTTTTGAAAGATTACTTCAATATCATCCAAAAATATCACTTCAATGAATAGTGATTGATGATTTAATTTTGAGAAAATTAATCATTTAGTCCTTGTAATTTTGACCCAGTTATAACCCAATCCCTCAATTTTGACTCGTTATAACTCAATCCTTGAAGTTTTGACTCTGTTGTAAATCCATCCTGAACATTGCCTCTTGTAGTTTAGTCCCTGAAATTTCAACTTCTTAAATATTGATCTCTATATTTTAAAAAATAAAATTTTAAAGATTAAAAATATTTTAAAATTTATTACTAATATTTCAAATTATTAAACACTTTTAATCTTTATAAATATTATAATTACAATTTTAAAAATATTTTTAATCTTTATGGTTTTATTATTTAAAATATAGGAATCGATATTTAAAAGGTTGAAACTTCAAGGATTAAATTACAAAAAACAAAATTCAGAGATTGATTTATAACCAAGTCAAAACTTCAGGGCCAAGTTATAACGAGTCAAAATTGAGGGATTGAGTTACAACTAGATCAAAAATACAAAGATCAAATGATTAATTTTCCCTTTGATTTTCTATTGACATGGCACCAATAAGTAATATGAATAGTAAATGAATAGTGATAGATAATTTGGGTTTCACATAATATATTAATATTAATTGTTAAACATTAATCTCATTTTTTGGGGGTGGGGGCGAAATAAATTAACTGGAGCTCAAAATGCAAAATATCAGGAACATCACTGCCCAGTACGATCTGGACCCAGAATCCAAATGCCATATGGCAAAGGAGAATTTCCATCTAATGCTTTTCCTCTCCAACAACTTAACCCAGTCCACAACCAATAATAACTGCAGAAATAGAACACCAAGCAAAGCTTGCATGTACTATATTTCACACTGGACCTAACCGCACAACAAATCAGATTTTAGGAACAAAATCCAGGACAACAGCAACTATAACAAGAAATATTATGCCCTAAACTCCCCAAGAAGAAGAAAATAAAGAACAACTAATAAAGATGCGATAGTTAAAAACATAAAATGATGCTCCATTTACATTCATGGCTGAAGTTCTAATGCTGTGATAACTTCTTTGTTTCTACAAATGCTAACTCAGTATATGAAAGAGAATAAACTCTGCACATTATCCGAACTTTTTTTCTTAAACTGGGTGCTTTGCTCAGGCCATTGAACCCTATACATTACAAACCTGTGCATGTACTTCGTCTTTCTGAACTGAATTTGTTGACACTGGAGTAGGCTGTTGTTGAAAGCTTACACCAAGACCCTCCATCATACACTGAAATTGAATACAGAATTTAAAGCGTATTAAGAATTAAGAATGCCATCCTCAAATTAATCTTGAAGACAACGGTGTACAAAAATAGGAAGCTCAATTTATTAAATAACTTACCAATTCTTTGAGTGCAGAGATTGAACCCATTGACCTCTTAGAGACATCAAACCTGGGATCTAAAACTCTTGAAGACTCTGATCCAGTTGAAAATATAGGCTCTTCTTTAGGCAAAGAATTAACATTACCCACAAAACCATTGTCATTTGCATTAGGATATATGCTAGAATCCCCATAATTGGAACCAGAATCAGCCTTACAACGGGAGATATACATATCTGCAAGAAATTGACAACAGCTAAATAAGATGAAGTTAAAAAAGACAAGGACATAGAAAATGTCATGATATGGTTAACCAAAAAACATTAGAATGTGAAGAGTTCCAATGAAAAGTGATATCAGATAAGTCATTAACATCCCTTATTCTTGGACTAAGGGATCGGATAAGAGATTCAGAAGGTTTAGGACCATTTGTTCTTGTTATTTTTCTGAATCATGCATACCCCTCCCCCCAAACCCAAAAAGAAAAAAAGGGTTCAAAACATTTCCCCTCATCAACCATTTTACTTTCTTTGATCCAAGTACCAAACATACACACAAAAGATCTGGAAAAGTGCCGCTCATTCCCAATGGATTAAACCTGATAAATCTCTGCAGGGCATCTAACCCAACAGTGAAACACAATAATCTCTTTCCAGATTTTAAAATGCTTGAGATATGTAAATTATTCCTCCTAACACAATTCAATCAGTGATGGGCCTGTCTGCAAACTCTTCATTAAATTCAGATTTTGGAATAAACCAAGAGGACAGATTCTACAGAAATGTGATGCCAGAATCATCACAAGATTAATCATCAAATGCCAACATTAACTTTAACTCCCACGAAAATTTTCAATCGCAAATTTTAACTCATATAGAGCACTATATACAAAATGGAAGTCATCAGTCCTGAATTTCCAGAATTTGCTAATAAGTTTTGCTACCAAGAGTTGGCCCATCAAAATTCAAAAGCAGATTTTGTTCAGGTATCAGTAAGTTTTTATTGTGTGGCAGAAATGTTTAGCCCTCCCCTAAAGAAAACCCCAGTACTTGGACAAGTGTTTGGTCTAATTAATTAGGCCCCGTTAGTGTTTTGAATTTTTTAGTTATTATGAAAGCTGCATTCTTTGCTGCCAAGAAATATAACAAACAAGTAAAATAAACACTCTATACAACATTATATATGTCAAAGCAAGTTACAATTCCATTGATTAAAAACTCGTACCGGCCAAGTGTTTAAGGGAATCCTCACAAGCCTTATTTTGTGCTTCCCTTCTAGTTCTTCCCACTCCTTCGCCAGTTTTTTTCCCAGCAAACCATGCCTGAAAAGAGGAATGAAAATGATGAGTTCAATCGTGCATAAACTCTTGAGAAAAACAAACTAATCAAAAACATAATCAAACAGCTGATGCCTCTACAGGAAGCCTACCAGAAATAAAAAAATATAAAGTAGGAAAAAATTCTGGTAAATACTATCGACAAGGATTCAAAAAGTAGTAAAATATACCTCAAATGAGAAGTGCAATTCTTTACTGGAAACCAATGATGGCCTGAACTCCACCTGTTCGCAATAAAGCAAAAGAAACTTCATATGGCACATTGTGAAACTAATTTACGAAATAATTCCATCTTAACTTTTTTCTCGCAGATCATTCACCTTAGTTCCACACTTCATTGCAATTTCTTTCATTGCTCCAGCAGGAGTATCAGCATGCAGAAGAGAACGTCCAGATTCAGAGTCAAGATCCCTCAAGCTGTAAGACGGCCTACTCAAGGGAATATCTTCACCTGTATGACAGGTGACAGAACCGTCAGCCTATGATAAATATAGATATACAGGGGGAAAGATAGATAACTGATAAAGTAAATGCAAGTGTTGTGAATTACCTGAGAAGGAATGAGAAGTGGAGAGTGCATGGTTTAATCTGGAGCGATCATCTCTAGCATATACCTGCATATAAATTCAGAACGTTCATTCATTAAATAAGCCAGAAGTGTGGCCTTCCAACAAAACATCAAATGCAACTAGGCCTAAGCTTAGCCCTTACCTCCTTTGACAATCTTTGGCTTTCATGATGAATTCTATCAGAAGAAATAGAACTCTCAATCTTGGGGAAGTATGATGGATGATGAGGTCGGTGCTTTTCAATACGCAATGGTTCAGAATCCACAGGGAAATCTTTAGGAACTACCCGGTTCAATTGCTGAGGACCCATTTCATCTTCTACAGGAAACCATCCCCCACGTGGCACCATGCGTGGTGCAGACACTGGAATGGGAGGCCTGAGGGGAAATGGAGGCTCACTTGACGTATCTCTTGTATCTTGCCCATGCTGCAATATAAGAAGCCTACGCCTTGTATCTGGGTCTAACTCTGATTCAGGCACCTCACCCTCTTCTCTAGCAGGAGAACTGTGTAAACTAGGTTCTGGAGGGGCAACTTGACCCATCGGCTTAACAAGAGGGAACTGTACATTGGCCAATTGCATCAAGGATGCTTGGGCTGTCGGTGGAGGAAATGAACCAGAAGAAGACGCCATACTGTAAGTGAGCCTGGGATCTATATTAGAACTTGTTGGAGGGGCTGCTGGAGAAGCTGATATTGCATCCTAGAATTATGTACAGTTACAAGAAAGACAAGACAACTTCAAGGTCTATTAAACATTTGAACGTAAATTATGAGTCCCATGTATCCATTCAAAGCTTATGCTTGTTACCTTTAATCTTCTTTCCACCTCAGCATCTGTCATGCCATCAAATGAAAGTGAGTCTTTGTTTCCATTGGTAGCGAGAGCATCATCCTGAAAGGAGGTGAAATATAAGCACTTAAGTATATGGGCACGCATGGATATGACAAATTAATAATGCTTATAATTTAGCATAATGAATGTCAAGCACCATAAAATTGTAAGTTAATAGAGCGTTCACATATTAGATGGACATCAACGAACCTCTGAAACTAAATAATTGCTCACATCAGGTGGAGAAGGGATATCTTTGATATCATCTTCATAAGCAATTTGAGGAATCTTTTGTAACAGACCATCATCAAATTCTCTGTCACCAAATCAGAGGTTGTAATCAGGTCCAAGAATCCTGTTTACCTTAATTCTGGTTGGAGAAAAGTAAAATGCTCAAAAATTCAGTTCTAGCAATAAAAGATAACGTCTTTTCCCCGTTAGGCACAGAAATAAGTGAATTTGTGCAATTTCTTTTCCTTCTTTTAGATGAGCAAGATAAAACATAAAGATTTGAGTTCTTACTTAAAGAAACCACCCCTAACATTGCAAGCAACATTTCTTGCAACACACAAGACAGGGACAGCATTGCTTGCCTACAAACACAATAGGTTAGATGAGTTTAGGTTAAAAAAGAAAACAAAAGAATATCATGGCCATTAAATATCCAAGTAAAGATGAGCCAATTTTACTTCAGCTTGAGGTGCATAGTATGGAGCAAATGCAGGGACAACATGCACACGAGGTTGATCTTTCTCTTCCCACACTTTCAAGCGATCATCAATTACCAATGCCATTTTAGGATGGCAGAAGCCATCTTGGAAGACATTGAACAGAGACTTCTTCAAACCTATTAAAACATATTCAAACACCAAAGAAGCATCAAAACAAACGAAATGGTGCCAACAGAAACACACAGTATGCACATTTAGGTGTGTAGACAAATCATATAACAGGATCATTAGCATACTCAGATGTGCAGAACCTCATTAGAAAACTGAAATGAATAAATTGAAAGTACATACTACTTACCAGACTTGACACACACAATGCGATCTAAAAGCTCTTTGGAATTTATCAGATTTGAATCTGGATCAAGAAGCCTCCACATTTCCAGTGCATAATCCCTTTCAGCCATTGTACAAACATACACCTCAAAACGCTTGCGCCCTCTTGCAGTCAAGTAGCTCCGAAGATCTTCCCATGCAGGTCTTAGCCTTACAAGTACACTTGTATCACGAATCTTTATAAACAGACAAGTTTTTGTCAGATTGACAACGCACGAAGTAAATCTACTTGTTAGATTAGGAAATAGATCAAACATAACATCAAAGCATCTGCTATGGCTACCTTTAGCATTTGCTTCATGTTTCAAGGAGAGAAGCTTATAAAATACCATAAATGTGAATGTAATATCACATATTATTCTGATTTGTAACAATACAAAGCAGAATTCAAACAAACAGTAAGAAAAAAGTGTCAGAGCTTAATTGACCCCAAGAAAAACCAGAAATGTCATTTGATAGAAAACAAAATAATAGAGGAATCATACCAACAGAACAAGTTGCACAATAACCAAGGTTTGCTGTAGACACTAGACACAACTAGATAATTGAATGTAGAAAAGTTTTACCTGTGGATTTATGCGGGTCAGAATAATGTTCTTTTCCTGTAACCGTATCAATGGTCGGATTAGAGGCTGATGACTGTCAGAATACGACGGGACAAGTTCTGATTGAATTTTTATCACTTTTCCATTATCAACAACCTGATCATTTTCAGCGTATTGCTTCAATATAATTTTGTCATCTTGATAGCGTTTGACCTCTGCCAGCATACCAGAAATCCGCTGCGGATCTACCTCTGTGCTCAATTTTCTCTGGAGTGCTTCAATTCGATCTTCAAACGAGCGCATTGTATTTGCAACTATAAGGGTTTCATCGAGATCAAACACTATTCCCAGACACCTAAGATTTAACATGACTAGACATGAATTGTAAAGTCCTGGTGCGACAACAAATCCCCAGAAACACGCTTTGCCATTGCTTCGTGGTTGCATTGCAACCAAATGTAATTCTTCACCACATAGTGGCATCACAGCAGTCTGCAGCGCCAATTTGGCGATCACAGTTAAAAACCCAGCAAGGGATTAAGGGGGAAAAAAAAAGGTGGCTGATGACTGTAGATAATTTAGGTTATAAACATAAATAATCAATGCAAAAAGAATAGAAGCTGACAAGGAGATTATCATGTGGCAAATGCGTTTTTTATGCATGAGAAGTCAACTGAGAGTCCATATCAAACTCCTGAAACCAGCTAACAGATTACCAACTTCCCATTTGACAGAGGTAGTAACCACTGATATTTCTGAAACATAAAGAATTCTTAAACGACCAACCCTATATCAGTTCTGCTAAGTCTGCACTTAGACTTAAATTTCAAATTTTCCATGAATTTTAACACTTTCATCTGCAGAAACCCTAAATATAATCATAAATACTAGATTTGGCCATCATCACATAGCTCAACATGACAAGCAACCTTTTGAAACAATATCATAAATTGTAGATCAATCAGAAACAGTAGTCTTGACAAAAATCTGCCGATCTCATACTAGCATTGCACATCATATAGCGCCCGGTTTTGTTCAGATTGTACGGCTGAGTACTCTGCTAAAAGAGGGGCATAACGTAGTTAATCATGTGGAGGCCTTTATTAGCCAGTTACCCAGAATGAGCTCAAAACAGCAGAACAGGTGTTATAAAAATTTCGGGCAAAGCCAATACATAAGCGGGTTCGCCTTAATGGTAAAAAAATTTAAAAAAAAAAAAATCACTGCAATTTCGACATAAGTCCTGTCAGATTTTGTCCAGCGTCCTTTGAAAGACTAGTAAGGTTCTTTTGGAATATGGGTTTCTTCTTCTGAAAGTTCAAAAGTTCAGGACTTTAATGGGTTTACTTTTGGAAGTTGCGTTATGCTATACCTTGTTCTCCTTGATACATGAGGAGTGCAAATAAGAGAGCGCGTCTTGTGCCTGCAAGGTCTTTGACTCCATTTTGAAGCAAACACCACATGAGGTAATGGTATGAAGCACAGCAAGTGGTGGGCACCTCTCACTCGGTTGCGAGAAGTGACTTATTCTGATTTCCTTCACATCGATGTTCTTGTTCTCTCCTGGGTATATTTCTACTTCCCCCAATATCACCTCCCCTTGATACACCACCGATTTATACATATTTCTTCCTCCTTCCAATCACAAACTCGGTATTAGCCTTTCATAAAAATTGTGTAAGTAGACTCAAGAATTTGTATCAGAGTTTCTTTCACCAGGAAAAATATTCATCGTCGTTCAAGAATGCTTTAGATTCATCCGATTTTTGCATTATCAGAGATATAAAAAATTTAGGCACTTTTGTTTCCAGGAAAAATATTAGATCTGTGATTGATGATGATGGTGGTGGTGTTGGTGATGGTGGTGATGAAGAATTGAAGATGAATAATTCAAAACCCTAGACCTCCTCGGTTTGCGCGATAGGTAACTGGTGATCCTTTTTTGTAATTCGCGTGGTGCTAGCCAGGGTTTTTTGATGATGGTGATGATCGTGAAGATGATAATTTGGAGAATAAGTCGTCGAACTCAGAAGGGAAACCCTAGATCCAGAAAACGAAAGGTCAAAAATAGTACCCTCCAATGCGTAAGCCAAGTGCTAATAAATATTAATAATTAATAATTCCATCCCATTCCATTTCCAGCAATTGAAAATAAAAGCTGAAATTTTTTTGGGTGTGTTTTTAAATATTAATAAAATAAATATAATTATTATTAATAGTTAATACTAATAACAATAAAATGATAATGATATTGATAAACTAACTTAAAGAGACAGCAAAGAAGGAAAGGTTTTTCCTAGATTTTCGATTTCAAATAAAAGATTCGAAAGTACGCAAAATTCGTGTGGTTCTGACGTGGAAAATAGTAGGGGCGCGAACGAAAAGAAATTCGGAAGCGCGAGGAAATAGTGATAGTATTAAAATTTGGGGACATGCGGTCGGCGTAGCCAAAAATTGGCACGTGTCCATCCTTCATTGGTGAAAAGTGTACGTGGTTGCGATGGCAGATTCTCGTTCTTTGATTATAACACTAAACGTGGATGTCACGGACACAATCGGGCGGTGACTCTAGATTTTTCTCTATCTACGCAAACGCGACTAAAATAAGATAAATATACAAATTTAATCATTTTATGTTATAAAATTATACAAAATAAATCATCAATTATTTAAAATAAAACATACAATATTTCTTGTTTATTTCCCACAAATGGCCATTTATCTTTAAATTTATAAGAATCATATATATATTTTGTTTAAAACTTATTGTATGATCAATTTATAAAAGTTTGATTTCAAAAGCGTCTTTCAAAGAGAGTGAGGGAGAAAAATTGGCTAGGGATAATTTAAAAATTGGCTAGGGATAAAATTTTAAATTATCTTATTTGCATATCAGATCATAATATCAATAAATTTGTGTGTGTTTAATCCTCTTTATCCAGAGAGAGAGAGAGAGAGAGATGATACCCTAGTTTTAATATAACCAAAAATTAGCCCACCAAAAAATATAATTGGATTGAAAAATCAAAAGTTAGTTAATTCACCATTTACATTATTTCCATATTTTTTAGGACAAAGCAAGGGGGGAAAATGAATAGCTTATAGTAAAATAGGATAAAATAACACATCTTCTCGTTTTTAATCTCTGTCAACTTAAGTTAGGTCAGAGCTTAATACTAATAATTTGGTCATTTATATTAGAAAAGCCTTATAGAAGAGTGATTTAAGATAAAAACATGTTCTCGAAGTCTTATTTATGAAAAAGAAAATATGAGGTTTGCGCCATGTAACATCCTGATTTTTTATATAATAAAGAAATTGTGGAATTTAGGTTTTGAGAAAAAAAATGATAATAATAGAAATTTATATTATTTGAGGTTATTTAGAAATAATATTATAGTTAGGTATTTAATTATGAATTTAAAAATTTAAATTTAAAACCACATAAGCAATATTTAGTTAAGATATAATACATAAATAATTTTTTTTGTGTGTGTGTTAAAAAAAAGAGAGAGAAGGTAGAAGGAACAAAAAAAGGGGGGTGGAAGGTTATTGTTTCTAAGTCCCACATTGGTTAGATGAGGGAAGAGAAGAGGTGCCTTCATGTATAAAAAGGAAGGGGTGTGTGCATTAGATAGCATGAGAGGCTAAGATGCAATTTAGAAAAAATTGCAACTTATGGCCCAAAGGTTTGAATAATTAAATTCAGACCTATAGTTTTTTTTTTAATATAATTTTGGGACTCACAATCTCATTTTTATATTATTTTTCTCTCTTCCTCTCACGTTGCTCGGCGTTTTCTCGCAAGGGGGGATTATTTTTTTTTTCTTCAGGTATGTTCTAACTTTCCTGTTTAGATTGGCATTTAAAAATTTATTTAATTACAAAATTAATTTTATAGTTATTTTCTAAATAATATTAGCTTTCTAGTGATATGATTATTTTATAGGATAGAGTAAATATTTTGATTAGGATTTTTCTATAGGATAGTTAATCTGATGATATGATGGATTAAAAATATAGGTTAAAACTCTTAGGGATATAATAAATATTATAGAATATTTTTTTGAGGTTGAAACTCATGTTTAAGAATTTTTGAGTTAAAATCTAGATCTATATGATTGAATTTATGTGCAATCTGAGATGTAGGGATAAACCTATAATTATTAAATATTTATTTAAATATGAATAGATATTTTTAAGGTTATAGAAAGGTGATTTGAGGCTTCAAGATAATTTTAAAATTTTTTAATTTATTTTTGGATGAATTTTTAGAATATAGAAGGATGAAATTGTGATACTAGAAATGATTTGAGGATAAAAAAATAGTTTATTAGGGTATGAGAATTTTAGAAAAGAATTTGGGAAGTTAAATGAGGCATAAATCTTAAATTAGTGTTAATATGGATTATAGATCTAAGACTTTCTAACTATTTAAATTAGAGTTATTTATTTTAATGTAAAATTAATATATAGTATTATGAAATAATTATGTAGATTATATTGACAAAGATAGTGGTGAAAAAGGATTGTGAAGGGGAACTTGTTATTCAAGACACAAGGTAACCATTATTAATGTGTTGTGATGGGTGTGTTTGTAAATGATTATGTGTTGTTTTGTTGTTTGGGAAAAATTATGAATTATTGAAAATAAATACTGTATATACTTGTTTGAAATTATTGCCAAGTGGATTAAAAATTTATTTTTTGTTTATCATGATGAGATATTATTGTTCGGATATATTCCTGTTTGGATATTTGAATGATGCATGACTTGTCAGGGTATTTTAATGTATGGTGTTAATGGGAATTTTGTTTGGTTAATTATTACCACGTGGTAAGCCCTCATTGGACCCAATGAGTGGCGTGTCACTTGGTCCAACTCACCTTTGGTCGGGTGATTTGGTGTCCGAGCATGGCGAAAGGAGGATATAAGGTGCAGTCATGCAAATTAAATACTTGTTCGGTTTGTTTGAAAGTATTGTTCGGTTAAATGTTTTGTGTGCCCACTTAGCAATCGCATGATTAGTTACATCCGCATGCATCATTACATATTAATTTTTGGTTACTGGGACTTTCAAGTCTCATTCCCCGTGATTAATATTTTTACAGGAGCGAGTCCGGCCGAGAAAGCACCAGAGGTGTAATTATGGTGTATGAGACACCATCTTTTACGTTGCCTCTTAGTTTGGATTATACAATGTATCTTGTGCCAACTTAAGACATATCTTTTTTGTGAAGCATGTAAACTCTAATCCTTTTTATTAAAAGTAATTATATGACCATGAGGATTATGTCGTCCCTCATGGTTCTAATTGCCTTTTTGAATTTTTTAAGACTTGTGTTATGTTTTGACCATTAAATTCATAGTACAATGAATCTTGACCATTAAATTTTTTAACGTCATACTATTCACCGGGTACTGTTCACCGTGGGCTTAGTTTAATGCTGATGTATCATTATGAATTAGTGTCACAAATCCTAAACTATTATATTAATAGCGTTTTGAACCCTGAACTAGTATGTTAATAACGTTTTAGATCTTGAATTTTGAAATTTTGAGCAAATTACTCCCACCATTTATATATATAACATTGATTATTATATAAATCAAATTAGTTTTAGCATGATTTATTGCAGTGAATACATTATTTATCATGGTGAATGACCTATAATTTTGTAAAATGACATTTTTTGCCCCTTTTTTTCAAATATTTTCCAAACGATTGGCATTTCATACTTCCGTATACTCTATAACTCTAATTTAGTCTTATTTTCAATAATGTTTATTTATTTAATGGTGAAAATTTGGGATCCCATTTGAAAAGAAGTTTAAGTATTATAGGATTTTACAGACAATAGGTGCGAAAGCTGTTGATTTTATTAACGAATATAAAACTCAAATTAATCAGTTAATTAAAATTATCTAATATTTAAACTTCTTTTTAAAAGAGATCCTAAGTTTTTATCATTAAATAAATAAACATTATTTAAAATAATATTAAATTAGAGTTGTAGAGTATACGGTAGTATAAGATATCAATCGTTTAGAAAACATTGCAAAAAAAGAGGCAAAAAATGTCATCTCACAAAATTATAGGTCATTTGCCATGGCCAACTGTGCATTTATCGTGGCGAACCATGCTGAGATTAATTTTGTCTACATAATAATCAATGTTCTATATATAAACAATGAGAGTAATTTGCTCAAAATTTTAACGTTCAAGATCTAAAACACTACTAATATAACAGTTCAGGGTTCAGAACACTACTAATATAATAGTTTAGGGTCTGTAGTACTAATTCATAATGACATGTCAGTATTAATTGATGCCCATGGTGAACAGTGACTGTGTGAATAATAATGGCATTAAAAATTTTAACGATCAGGGTTCATTTTGCTACGAATTTAAACGTTCAGGGTTTATTTTGCACATTTTAAGAGTTCAGGGTTGAAATCACTTTTTAGGCAATACTTCAGGGTTTATTTTGCTCATTAACTCATATTATAAGTTATAATTTTACAACTTGTCAAATATAGATGGATCTTGATTAAATTATATATAAATAGACTTAAAAGTATTTGTATTTATATTTATAATTATCAGTATCTTTATTAAAAATGGCCTTAAATTGTATTTTATACATGTAAATTGTTCAAAAATAAATTTAATTTTTAATAGGATCTATTTTTTTTAATTTTTCAAGTTTTTTTAATATTATGTTTAAAACTGTTTGGTTTTCTGAAAACTACTTCAGTTCAACTCCTATTTTTAGTTTAATAGCGGCTCAACTCTAGTCCAATTTAGCTTAATGATAAAAATTATTTTTCAATCCAAATCAAGCCATTAACTTCTCCAGATGATAGCCCAACTGTTTGGTTTTATGCGGTATATTTATAAGGTATATTTAAAATTTTACATGCTTTTATTTTTTGTACTTTTTTTATATTGGTATTAATGAAGTTGGTAGAAATAATTTATAAAAAAAAACTAGAGGAGTTTATGCTAATTGGGGAACCGATTCACATGTCTAAGCCAATAATATTATGTTTATATGCTGTGACA